GCCCCCAGAATGTCTAACGTTGCTTTCGGAACCCGTAAAATAAGTCTGTGAAGCAGCGTCGAGCACGCCCTGTCTTCGCTTCAAGCCGCCGGCTGTCACGGAAACGCCTCGGAAGCATCTTCCGCTTTCGACCCTTCAGCCACGCTTCAAGCCGCCGGCTGTCACGGAAACGCCTCGGAAGCATCGAAAAAGCCGTTCTCTCACCTCCCACGGGTCCTCTGGCTGGTACACAAGAAGCCGTTCTCTCACCTCCCACGGGTCCTCTGGCCACGGGTCCTCTGGCTGGCGCACAAGAAGCCGTTCTCTCACCTCCCACGGGTCCTCTGGCTGGTAGACACCTGTTCCGAGTGATTTCCTCCGCCACAGCTTTCCACAATCTAATTCGAGACCAAAAATCGCCCGAAAGTGCGCTTCCCGGTACGCCCCCAGAATCTCTAACGTCGCTTTCGGACCCCGTAAAGCAAGTCTGTGAAGCAGCGTCGCGCACGCCCTGTCTTCCGCTGTCGGACCTTCAGCAACGCTTCAAGCTGTCAGACCTTCCGCAACGCTTCCAGCATGCCCTCGGTTGCCTTCTCTGGCGCGCGCCCCCTTCAACCGGCGGGGTCGGCGGATATGCTTTCACATCATACTCCAAACACCTTCCAATGACCGGACACCCACCCATGACCTTTCTCTTTTCTCTCAACAGCGCCGGGAGACGTTAGTGCAGGTTTATGTGGCGAGCATCTGCGTCCATGTGAACCCTCAACAGGCGGTGCGCGCCATGATCGAGGCTGATGCGTACGCAGGAGCACCCGAACTCTCGTCCCTCTCGTCCAGCTGAAAAGACCAAACTACACATCTTCACGATCTTCCTCGCCGAAAAGTATCTCCCATTTATATCACAGACCTTTGATACAGCTGCAGGTGTTGCCCAACATTGCCCAACCAAGACAGGTGTGCCCACCTTCCGATGGCTACACAGCACACTGGCACCTTCCTCCACTTCCTGTGAGGACCGAGCATCATCTTGGCCTACGCTCCTTGCATCAGTCACTTGGAATGTGAATTTCGAATGGAATTCGGCAAAATCTTATGATCAGACCCCAAGTGATGGTGTTTCACCTCGTGTCCTCCACCCTTCTGCGGGTGCTTCATCGAACGAGCCAGACGGGTCGAGCCAGACAGGACGTGAAGCCGGTGATCAACGTCGGAGGTTTTGTCGGGTGACGGCTTGAGGGACAAACGATGCCAAACGACTGGTCTTAGTTTGGACTTGACCAAAGCAATTTGGCTTCTCCTTCCAAACAAATAAGCCAACGCGGCCAGCTCAACGACTACCAGTGGTCCCCTCGTGCCCTCGACGTTGGCTCTACACTGCTAGTCTCAGGTGCAAAAGGGCCTTGGAATGGTGATTTTACACATGTGACATGTAGATAGATAGATCCCTTCCATGAGGACTGGAACACTTGTACAACCCCGCTTCCCACCCGAATAGAGGTACTGAAAAACATTACCCGATGCCGATCCGTTGTGCCTTGCAACGTCCCAGGTCAGGGCTTCCCTATGGCCGAGTCGATTCAGCATTGCCAGATGGCCGTCGACAGTGGCGCCTCGGATGCGCGACGTTTGTCGCCCCACGCCCCATCCGGATCGACCGACATCATCCGGATCGACCGACGCAATGCCATCCATCCATGCAGTCGACCTGGATTTTGGGGAGTTCGCCGATTCTGAATCATAGAAAGGCACCGTGGTTTTTGCAGTTTTTGCATTGAAACACAAACGAAAGCACTCCTTAGATTCATAGCGATTGGACAAAAAGACATGAAAAACATGACAAAACAACTTTTAGAGCCCCTTTGCTAAACGCATGGTCATCATCTTGCCGGGATCATGTCCTTGAGCCTTTAGCCGCTGCGTGAGGTTATTGGCCTTTGTACCGCTACAACCCGGAAGCCTCCGCGCATGGGAACAACCCCTTCCAGTTGGATTCCCGAAAGATCAAGGGAGATCTCTTCAAGTTCCTCGCCAAGGAGACCCGGCATGGGTCAAAACTGGGTCAAGCGAATCTATTTCATGAATGCGCATGTGGGTGCTCATGTGATTCACTGTATCCTGGATCCCCTGGAAATCGGATCGAGGGCGTCTGAAAACTATTCCGACCGCCGGCGAGAGTAAAGCGGCGCGGCACGCGGTCGCGCACCACCGGCACGCAGCACGCGGAGAGCCGCAGGAGAACCGCTTTGCCGCGGTCATGCGCCGAGACCCCAAGCACGCGCAGGAGCGGTCGTCGTGGTCCGCTGCGTTGTGCGTGCGCCGGCGTTCGAGCGGCGTGAATGAGCGGGGGGCGCCTGGAAAAGGCAGCTTTTTCAGAAGCTGGGTGGGAAGAGTTTCTGGATGAGTGGTGTGTGTGTGTGTTTTCTGTTTTTTCTCGCCAGAGCACAGACAGACGACCCTATGGAAGCACTTTGAAATACTACTATGGCGCAGTGAACCAAATGGTAGGGGCTGATGTTCCCTCCAGTTTCCTTCTGAAGACATATCTAGGGTGTGCAATTTGCTTTGCATGCAGATATATAGTTGTGATCGACTTGTTTGAGACCTAATTGCAACTTTTCTTATCTTTCCTGAATGTTTCTCAAATGGTACTTTAATTATTATTCAATTCAGCCAATGTTCAGGTCTTCTCATTGAGGCTTTTCAGATCTATCATATTCAGATCTATTGTCAGCAACCCCTTCCCTTTGATCTTCTCATGCCAAGATCATGCAATCGATGCAAGGCGAAGCAACTGGAGGAATCGATTCCTCCTTCGCACTTCCACTCCTTCCAACCTCCCGACTCCGTGGCCCGCCGTATATGACGGATGCTCCTCGACCGGGTTCTGAGTGGCTTTTGCGGACGACAAGCCGGGCTTGGACGACCAGCCGCAGGAGCTGGACGACAAGCTTCAGGAGGCCGTGGTGCAGAAGAACCACCTCTTGCAGGCGCGAACATGAGTGACCGAACGTGAACGAACAGCAGCACTGAGTTTGGATGCGAAACGGGGCCATTCAAGAAAACAGGAGGTTGTTCCATGTCTTTCATTTGGGGGGATTATTCAAATTATATGTACTTCGGTCTGGTTCTTTTGCTTAATGGTATTATGCCCTGTCGTTTCCTTTTGGTGGCGCTCTTGGGTGGCTTCTTGGCCCTTGGCTGTGCCGAAAAAAGGGCACACCGATAGCTGTTAAAGGGTGTCTCTTAGCTGCCATCCGTTTCAGGACGAACGAGGGCCTGGGGTCAAGGTGATTTGCACAAAATGTATGTCCTTTTTTACTTGGGTTTTGTGATGTCGTCTATTTTGGTGTGTGGCCCCGCTGCATTCCGACAAACATTCCATGTTGAAATTGGACAGGAATGTAGAAGGACCCTTAACAACTTAGACGGGACATTCATTTGAATCTAGAAGGAAGTTGAGCAGGAAGTTACAAGAACAACATTCATTTTACTTGGAGCAAGAAAATCCCACCAAAATATACATGCCAGGGGCAAAAAATAAGAATGCAGAATTAATGCCCCCGCCCTTTTTGGGGAGTGCCTTTTCAATAGGCAACTGGCTCAGGCACAGATGGGAAGACGAGCTAGGATAATTTTGGGTCACATGAGCATTTCGGGCTCCAAGCTGCATAGGTTAATACCTCAAGCTCCAAAACATTGGGAGGTGTACATGTTGTGCCTCTTTCTTGGTTTGGGACTCAATGCATGTGGCTGGTTGTTTCTCCTGTCGACCACTGACTGAAAAGTCCATCGTCGAGCCGTCTTCCGGGGCAGAGCCGTCTGCCTTGCGATGATACGCACCGTTCCCTTCTGGGAACGCCAACACGACATCCTGCAACATCCTGCAACATCCTGCAACATCCTGTCACTCCAAACTTCCATATCCGGTGTCATTTCGTTGATTGGTGAGGAGACCCTCGAAGAGTTTCGTGAGAGGTGGTTGAACTGCCGGACGCAGCAGGGGGTACACCCGACACCGAGTCCCGGACAGCATGTTCAGGTCTTGAACAAGGAGGATTTGGAAGGCAACCTCCGAGAAGACCGACCGGGCCGAATGCGTTCGTTCGGGCCGGATCCCTTCGGTTTCGGTTTTCAGCGTTCGACATCGTTCGACTGCGTTCATGTTGCTCCCCTTGGAAAAGCGCTCCTCAGCGACCATTACAGTTACACGTGTGTTGTGGCGGTGGAAGACGGACTACGAATGGCGACAGGAGTCGCGTGGACTGTTTTATTTTTGTCTTCGTCATTGGACGTTGGACCGTTGGTTTCTTTTCTCAGGTTCTCGGGTCTTTCTTTCATGGTTGGTTTCTGGTAAGCGTGGTAGAAAAGAGATGAATAGAAGGAACATGCACCGGTCTCTGGGCTGCCCTGTGTCGCCATGTTTTCCACCTGATTACAGGGCTTGCTGAAACAGGTTGCCCTGCTTGTGGTAAGCAGCCTCCACAAATCGCCCTGTTTATTGATGTCTTTGACATGGAATGCCGACATTTTAGGCCCCCAAAACCATTGCTTGTGCAGTCTTAGGTGAAGGACATCATATATATGTATATTTTATGCACATAGATGTAAACAGCTGCAGTACACGCTTCACGAAGTCAGTGTTACGATGACAAACTGATGACCAGAAAGGAACGTAGAAGACTGACTATTTACCACAACTCTTCATACAAGAGGGTTGTTGATGCCGTTCAATCAATCATTTTGATCATTTTTGACTTGGTCCGGGGCTCACCACAGACTCCAATGGCCCTCCTTGAGTAACTTTTCCAACACCATTCCCACATATTCCCACCGTGATCTATCACCAGTGGAGGATTCATCCTTGACTCGTATCCTTTTGTGTTACGGCAACACCCTTCCATCTGTCTGCGCGTCTTCGCGTCTTCGCGGACCGCTGCAACTCGCAGAAGACCGTGCAGTTCGCTGAACTCGCGCGGCGAACAAGGCCAGTTCAGCAAGTTGGTGGAGGGCTTGTCCGATGCGAAGTCCACCGCGGACATGGCGCGGGAGAGTGGACGGCAGTGGAGACATGGGAGTCACTGGCAGGACTTGGTGAAAAAAGGGACTTGGCTCGACATATCGACCGCGGAAATATGAACTAATTGGATGGCTCAGTCCGAGCTGCTCAAAAAAAGCAGTGCATTGGATTTGAATGAAATGATTAGGATATACATCCATCCTGCCATCCCACAGGAACCCACGGGTATCCTTGGCGACACCAGTTGGAGGATTTGGATTCCCCACACTTGGAATCGTGCTGTCTATACGGCACCTGGAGTCCTTCTGTGCCAATTTCTCGGCAGTTCGGAGGTTCTCTCTCCCTCCCTCCCTCCCTCGCTCCCTCGCTCTCTCTCTCTCTCTCCCTCCCTCTCTCTCTCCCTCTCTCTGTGCAGACTTGTTCTCTCTCTGTCTGGAGAACTGTTCGGAAGTCACCGTCTGTGGCGTTCCGCGGAGTTCGGCTTTCGACACGTTTTGGTTCGGTACCGACTCTGCCATCTCAAGTTCGGCTCGGCTTCCGGCGCCGTATCCGCGCAGTATCTGCGCCAGGTCACCATCTTGTACGGCAGTGAGACGGGGAACTCCGAGGAGCAGGCGAAGAATCTCATGCAGGACGTGGTCTTCTTTGGGAGGTCTTCTTCGTCTTGGATGGGACGCTCACTCGATTTTGACACCCCCAAAGCCTGGATTGAGGAAGACTGGGATTGGTCGATTTCTTGCTTGGGGATGAGCAATGCAGCAAACGCATGGTTGAATGCTAGCGAGTTCTTGCTGCATTCATTTTCCAAAAAATGGTCGTCCGTCGTTGCATCTTCTACCTGGAAACCCAAACAACCAGAAACACATCGTTGTTCCGGCAGTTGAGATCCTTTACATATATAGGAAGTGGCTGGGTGTGGGGAACCGTCCATCCGTTTCTGGTGGTTGGAATTTCTGGTTGTACGGAACGATCTGGATGAACATCTGGCTAGAACTCACACCGACAAAAAGGTCGAGACATGGGGCTTTTAGAAGGGACCATTTGAGCGCAGCAACGCCTCAGTGGGGTCAGAGCTGGGAAGATGGACTCCTTCACTTGTCTTGTCCCCGAAACCACGCGAAGGTGCGGTCGAACATGGCACAGGCGACGGTTCTGGATCAAAGGAGAGGTAGGTTCAGCCTCTGAGCAGTTTGGTTCTGGTTCTGTTCGAGGGGACACTGCGTAAGATCTTGAAACAGCTGAAGAAGAACCGTCCGAAGAACCGTCTTAGACCCTGCCTTTCACAGCTGAACAATGAAGATACGATATTATGATGATACTAATTATGCTTGTGGCCCAGTTGGTTCATGAGTGGCGTTCTTCTCCTTCTTCCCCTTGTGGGTACCTGAAACATCCGGCCACCAGACCTTCAACATCGGCCCCACACCTCTTTACCTGGCAGACTCGGGTGAACCTGAAAGAAAAATCGGCAGCCGCACGAATCGGGCCCAAAAAGACCCGCAGGACATCCGCGCACGTGGACTGAAGGCTCAGGTGAGCAGCTGTGACGACTTCGACTTCGAGGAGCTGCCGAACCAGAAGTTGGCCCCTTGGGTCTGAGCCAACCGAGACGGCCGCGAGCGGCTCCGTTTTCGGGGCGGAGCCGATCGGCGGAGTGTCGCACGGTGGTGCGGGGCACGTTGCCGAGCGGCCTGCGGTGTTGCCTTGGGCGGGCGATGGGCGATGGGGTCCGGACGCCGAAATGGCCCTGCCGCGGGGCTTCGTGATGTTCAGAGCGGTCTTGGGCTTCGGCTAGGACTGGCTCCCGTTGCGCATCCGTTGGGTCTGTCCGACCTGACCGAACGGTCAGGTTTCACAAATAAATCACTGGAACAAGGTCTGCAACTAAACCATCAATCATCCGCCTGGGCCCTGACATGGATAGACTCCGGATAGACCCAAGCCATCCCAAGCCATTTGCTTTATCACTCGACAGAGGTTGGTAGAAGGTAGCACTTTTTGGCCGCGGCTTCACAGATTCCGAGTTTCTCCCTTGATGGCACCGGTGGAAGAGCATTTTCCTCTACAAAGCTGGTGGTTCTTGGGGTTCCATGTTCATTTGCACAAAAGTCAGTCTTTAGGGTCTCATGCATAAGAATTAGTCCAGACTGCAGGTCTGTAGGGGACATACATGTACATGCATCCCACAGAAATAGAGAAAGATGCAGGATTTGTCAACGTCAAGCGAACCAGGGCGGCAAGTTTTGGTTGTGGACTCACACCCTTGGTATCCTTCATGAGTTTTCGGGTGACCGTCTGACGCGTATGCTTCGCACCCAGGTGATTTTGGTGGTGTCCACTTGTGGCCTGGGCGAATTCCCAGCCAACTGCAAGCAGACCTGGTTGAAACTCCAATCCCAGGAGCTGAACACCTGAGCTAAGTCTTGTGGTACTTTTCAGACTCCACACGAGGGTTCTTCTTTGCGATCAAGCATCATGTGCCGATTCGGATGTGTTCCGATGGGTATTTTTTGAAGAGAGTCTATACAGTGAAATCATTTACATAGCAGCAGTGCAGAAAGCCTTGATACACAGACACAGATGACAATATATATATTATATAATATATTTATATAATGCTCTATCTATATATATATATATATTATATATATATATATATCAGTATATATATGTATATACAGTTATACACATGCGCATAATAGTATATAAATATATATATATAGATAATTATAGACACCAGTATAGACACCCCACCTACAGCTGAGCCAACCGTTTGCATGCCCTCTTTTCCAGAAAGCCGTTTGCGGGTGGCCGAACCTCAGGACCTACCGATGAGTTGGCTCTCCGGCACGAAGTTCGCCGTCTTCGGGCTAGGTGACTCCACCTATAGCGTCCCGGACGGAGTGGAGCGGAGGGACAGCGGCGGACAGCGGAAGGGGTTTGGGGGGTCAGGCTGGGTGGTTGAAACATCCAGGGCCCGGGGATTAAAAGCCAGGCGGTTGCAACCCACATTGCACAGCAAGAGAAATGAGGAGTAGATTCTGAGAAAGGACCAACTTGTTTGTTGAGTTCCGTGTTGATCTTTTGGGTCTCCTTTTTGTGGCTGTATGGTTGCTGCCGTTTTGCTGCATTTTTGCTACCATCAAACTGTGTGTTAGTCAACACCAAGCATGGAGTTAAGACCAATTTGTGCTACCAGGGTCCAAACCCACTTAACGCCCCCACTTCAACCCGCCAAGTCACCGAACCTCCTCCCACCAGGATCACCACAACTTCTGACGGCCTACGCATGTGCCGACCCTCTGATCGTTGCAGCATCAGCGAAGCAACGGGTGCTTTCGGGACCCACCGATGGTCAGGCCAGTTCTGCGTGGCGGCCATTCAGTTCGACACGCGCCTCGGCGAGCTGGGCGGCCAACGCCTCCTGAAGCGCGGCGTGGGCGACGACCGCGACGAGGACCGGGGGCCGGCGGACCGGCGGACGTCAGGTCGGTCGACGTGAACCGTCGTTTTTCAGGTGATGGAGGGGTGGGCCCCGCCGGGGGTTTCTCTTCACATGGTGATGAAGGTTTGAACTTTTGCATATTATACGCGTAATGTCATTTCTACACCACCATGGACAATGTAGGGATGCTCCAGGCAAACCAAACCAGACATTCTGGACTTCCGACATTTTGGCGCTTGCAACCCGCTGGCTGCTCGCTTTCGTTTCGAGACGGTGCTTTGCTGCTTCTGGTGTTTCCCGCGAGGACCGCTACTACACCGGCTGGGAGGCATGGCTGCCAGAGCTTTGGAAGGTCATGGGCCTCCCACAGATGCCTCTCTCGCAGGCGAATGGTGCCATTTCCGGGCGCGATGATGCGGTTGCGCGGGGTGCCAATCGGAGTGAGGGGGAAGGAGGGCTCTTGGGGAATTTGGGGGTTCGTGTTTAGTGAAAGTGTCTCTCCAAAAGGCGTTGGCCTGCGCATGCATGTTGAAAAGCTGTCTTCAAACGCGCACCCAAGTCCTATGTGTTCCTGCGATGCCCCGAAAAAAGGAGAGGCATGCACATGGTGTTTTTGATGTTTGTGCCATCCTCTCCAGACCACATACAGGCAACTTACAAAAGTCCTACCCCCAAACCATGGGGGACTGAGGCATTGTCGTTTCCCTGTAGGGATCAAAGCCCCGGGCCGTCTTTCAAAGCTTCATGACCGAACATGAGACTTCGTGGCCCTTTTCTGGGTGCCTGATGGCTGACAAATATGTTTTTCTTTTCTTCACCACATGAGCTATTTATCATCTATAGTTGAATACAACGTCTATATTTAATATATATCATGTAGATTCCCGATGAATAAAACCCTACAGTACCATATTGGAAGAGGTTTTGACACTCCAATTGGGGGGTTTTAGTCAACAAGAGTTTACATGATAGATTCTACAGTCAGGTTCGTGACTGCGCCCCTCCTCGAGCTTTTCAGGAGGCGCCAGCCCCTTGCTATCGCGTAGACGTCAGCTGGGGCCCTGGGCAGGGTCAGCGGGTTCGGTGGGGAAGGAAGAGCCCACGACGGGCTCGATGAGCTGACAGTTTGGCAGGGCATAATTTTTGTGTGTATGTTCGTTTTTGGGTGGGCGAGTGCAGTGCAGTTCTGCCCTGTGTGGCGCCGTGGTAGTGAACCAGGAAGTTATCCCTACATATATACACACTTAAATGCTTGGGTGTAACATTGCACACATATTGGCCTGTCCTTTGCGTGGTTTTGCGCGCTTGTGGTTTTGCATTCACGAGGGTGATCCCCGTATTGAGCAACCCAAGTCACTGAGTCAAAGGGATTTGCCCAGAATCCACATAATGCGGATGCAGCCTTGCAGAACTCACCTGTCTCTGAACTCTGAGGGTGAGTAGCTAGAAAGTCAGGGTGAGGAGCTAGAAAATGAGCTAGAATACATGGCTCTTTCAGCAGCTTGCGCCTGTTGAGACGCATGTATTTCAGGAGTTTCAACGCTAGCTCGGCCTGTCGACTCCTAGCTTCGGCACGTCGAGACTCGAGCCTTTGTTTGAGGATGCTCCAGTCTATCAAGAGCTCAAAGTGGCAAACAGACGTCCCGATCGCATCGACAGCTTCATGTTCTCCAAGAAAACCAGGGCCGCCTTGGGGTCTTTGATGTCCTTCGTTCCTCCCCTCCTCCACGGCCCTCCACGGCCGCAAACCGCCCCAGGTGGCAGCGGCAAGCCTCCCATCAGCGACGATGACATCGTGCCGCCGGGTGCCGCAAAGCTCACCTTGCTGCACAACTCCCTGCTGGTGCCGGAGAAGTACGATCGCGACATCAGGCGCGCGATGTGTGGAGATGTGCAGAGATGTGCGCGGGGGGCTGGACTCGAATGGAGAGGATTGCAAGAATCTACGTATGTCGGTTTTGATACCATGCCCATGTATGAGGATGCTGATCGGGAATGAAGCGACTGCGTAACACTTGGTAAACCTCCATTGAATCCAGTGAACACCTCTACCAACTTCATAGCATCAGAAACTCTGCGGTCTCCAGACAGATCAGTGTTCAGTCTTTTTAATTTTTGGCGCCCGGTGGTGAAAAGCCATACTTCGAGGGCTTGCCTAAAATATCTCAAATGCTTTTGGCAGTCACTGTTCTTTCAAGGATTTTCAGACATTTCATGTGGGGTACTGGACTTCTGCCAAGCGGACTTCTCTTCGGCAGCCAGGTCATCCAAACCTTGCAGCCCGAGGTTTGGAAAACCACCTTCCTTTCAATGACACTTTTCTGGTCCTGTGTGGCTTGAACTCACTCGGTGGCTTGCAATCTCGATCTCTAAGAAACATGATCGACATGGTCAAAACTCCTGACTGCATTCCCAAGTAAGTAGTGGTGAACATCGTGTGACCTATGCAATTTCCTGATGGATCTTTTCCAAAACATGTTTGCCTCATCTGACTCACACCTCCTTTTGAAAGAAGCCGTTGAACGGTCCAAACGCCGAGGCACTATGAGTTCAAGCTCCTCGACTCGGAAATCTGCGGGGCTTCGCAGAGGGGCCACCGCCCGATGCCACCGCCCGCCTTCGTCTTTTTTTACAGATTCGTCGAAGCCTCGTAGCGGAGAATCGACTGGATCATACTGGTTGCCATACTGCCTGGGCTTGGCGGAGGTCCTGGAACCTGAGGTCCTGGACCACCAACCACCCAAAAGTCAAATGGGTTCCAGGTAATGTCAGTCTTAAAACTCGGACATTTGGACATCCTCCCATCAACGATGGGTATCAGGTACCATCATCGATTCAGGGTAGCCTGCGTTTTTCCGTGTACGATTCCGGGACTACATCGCGTATTACATGTTCTATGTGGGGGATGCAGCCTCAGCCTGATGTGGGGATTCATGGTGATTCATGACATATCATTCCAGGATTTTCCAAACATATATTTATAGTAATGGGTGTACTCAGAGTAGATGGGCCACCTCCAACAGGTGGTATATAATATATATATATTTTTCTTTTTTTTGTAGATAGATAAGGAATCCCGGTTGCTGCTATCCACTCGAGCCATCCCCTCTTTGTGAAGCACGGCAGGATTGAGGGCACGCCCGTGAGCTACAAGACCGGCGATTCCCTGGCCGTTTGGCCGCGGAACCCGGTTGACAAGGTGGAGGCGAGGTGGAGACACTAAGTAGTGGAGACTGCGTCGTGGTGGTTGTGGCGTCAAGGTTTGGCGTTTCTTTGTGGCCCTTCTCGACTTCTCATAAGGCATGCTGTAAACCAGGTGCTTTGTGGCGAAACGTAGTTTATGGACTTTGACGATATGTTTTTTGGTGTTGTTTTTTTGGCTGGTGCAGTTGATTCGGTTTTTCTTGTCCATGGTTTGGTTGGCTTTTGTGCACCTCTGTACACTACACTGAGCGATTTGATAGTGACTGTGTGTGGGCTGGGTATGACAATGTGACGATGTGGCTGAAAGGAAGGGGAGCCCTGGCAAACTGATTCGGCTTACATATTATATAGGTAATATATGTTATAATATATATAGACCAAAATCTGATGGGAGGCCTCATTTTGAGATGTCTCAATTGGTGCAAGGAAGGGCAGGATGTCTCAATTGCCGTGTTTGCATTCGTGCCATTAACATGTTGTGCCGGTGTTCTGCCGGTTTTCGGGGAACTAACACCAGACTGGCTCTGATACGTCGATTCGTCAAGACTACAGTCGCGTGGCTCCGAATGGGAGGAAGTCAACACCCTAAACATGGTCCGCCATTCGTGAACGCCCACGACACCGGTTTGAACTCCCCGTCCTCGAGTTCCGCAGGAGTTCTGCAAGGAGATGGGTTTCGACTCCACTCAGAACTTGCGGGTTTTGCCCATGGAAGGTGCCTTTGAGGGGGGACGCCATCGGCCGTTTTTTTCGATTGATTCGGAGTTCGCTGCGGAGCTGGCGGAGTAGTTCCGTACCTTAAAGGCTTTATATACTGCAGGAACGTACCAAGCAGACCCTTGCAGACTCCCACGGAGTGCGGACTCGCGCGAGGCGCACGCAACTGGTGCCCGCAAGAGCTCTCGGTGCGGCAATTGTTCAGCCACGTGCTGGATATCTTTGGCAAGCCCAACCGGAAGTTCTTCGAGACACTCTCCTTCTTTGCCAAGGCTCACTGGTTCCGGATGGTCAGCCGGGGGGAGATCGGGTGATAGAGGAATGTTGGCTGTTAGCTGGTGTTTAGGAGACCAGTGGCTTGAAGGACTGTTCTTTTGGTTTCTTTTTCAGGGGTCCGCCGGATCCGCTGTTTGACATATACCTTAGATTGGTTTCTGGCCTCTCTGTCTGTTGGCTGTATACGTCTCCAACACTACCTCATGTAACAAATCCTGTGGGAGGCCTAACTCCTCGTAACACCTTATGCAACTGAAATATGATATGATATGAATGAGATGTAATAAATGTTTGTCCACTTCATTTCCTGCAAAGGTGGACATCACAGAACGCCACAGGGTGTAATCTTATTTTAGTATAGTGGCCGCTACCAACAGACTGCTGAGAGGAAAGTGAATATGGACAAGGAGAGGGGGCGACAGGATCCTAGTCACTGCTGCTGTGCACAGTATTCTTTTCACCACTTCATAGTCAGAGTCGATTCATAGGCCTTAGGCCCTGGCTGGCACAAACTAAGGAGGCAATGGCACTGAGTGATCTTACAATGATGAAACTGTTTGTTTGGGAAAAATGATTTGGATGGAAATTGTTCACAAAGGGGTTATAACTAGGTTGAAATCCATGTGAACAAATTATATAACATGTTTGCTCACAAATGAAAGAAAACTGCAAGACTAGATGGAACGGAGGTTGAACCTGACTACACAAATGCATGTGCTCATGCCACGATAGGCCACTGCCAAAATCGGAGCTGAAGTTATGAGCTCCACTGCCTATTGCTACTTCACCCACGCCGCATGCCCATGACTCCGTCCATCACTTCTTGTCTGCCTTTCTCTTCTTTTCTTTTTCCTTGGGCACTTCCTTAGGCTGCTTGGGTCCTTGATCTTTCTTTGCCCTTTTGGGAGCTGTTCCGGAAGTGTCCTCAGGTGGTGTTCTCTTTCTGGACTGAGGCTGGGATTTGGCTTTGCCATCCAAATCGGCCATGATCTTCCGCATTTTCACCGGCAGGTCTTCCTTGGAAGTCCCTATGCCATCACGGCATAGTCCCAACACCTTCTGAAGACTGTCCTTGTCAATGACATCCTTCAGCATCACATCAGACACCATGAGGATGGTGGCAAGTTTTCTTGTAGAAGACATCATGGCAAGAGTTTCAGAGTGAAACTTGCGGGCGGATTGGATCACCTCCTGAAAGGCGGAATTGCACGAAGTGTGGGCCATGAACAGTTTGATGTCGCTGCACAACTCTGTCAACTCGCGAAGCGTGTCTTCTACCTTTTCAAGGTCTGCATTGCAATCCTCCTCATTCTCAGGCTCAAATACGTAACTCACTGGCAACATTTGCCAGCTCTCTGCACATTCCCCAACCTTCTGGTACTTCTCGATGAATCCTTTGAGCTGCTCAGCCAAGCCGGGCCCAATCTCTGTGAGTGCCAATTGGCATGCCTCGATGAAGGACTTCACATATGCATTGCATTGGTCCTTTGCATCCTGAAACACCGTGGCTGACATCAACTTGTCATTCACGGCGGCTGACAGACTCTCGAAAAGGCTGAGCTTCTTAGTCAAGAAGGTCCAGCTGTGCTCTGCCTCACCCAACTCCTTGAGCTCTTGACCCACATTCTGCCAAGTTAGGATTGTGTGGGCAATGGGCTGGACTTCTTTCGGGAGCAGCCTGTTGATGTCATACTTTGACTCTGGGAACCTGAACATTGTCTCGAGAACCTTTCTCACCTTCACATGTTGGAATCGGTCAAGAAAGCCGCCAATGGCGTCAAAAGTCTTGCCGATCTCAGACTGCAGAGAATCTTCAGGGAGGGATGGGACGGGCTTCAAGAAGGGTTTGAGATAGGAGACGTACTCGGAGGCGAGCTTCAACAAGGACATCCCATCCTCCCCATCTTTCTGAAAGCAATCATCTGGAAAGAGCTTCTTTTGGAAGCCAGCACTCAAGGCAAACTTCGCTATCCCATTGGCCATCATAGACTCCGGTGACGTCGAGGTAGCTCCCTTGATCATACCTGGGCAAACAATAGTTTTTGGACATGATCCCACATTGTTTCATCTTGAATGAGAAAGCCATGCAAAAACAGTTGAACGTTGAAAGTCTCAAGTAATATAATATAAAGTACTTAATTACATCTTTAAGGATTCGAATGCAGAATTCAGAATTGATCATACCCACGTCACATGTTTGTCAGTCCTGCCTCATGCTTCAAATGGTGAATGTTAGAAAGCATGGGCATGGATGGTCGATTATCAGGGAGTATGGTAGGACGAAAGGACTCGGACTAGGACAGTGAAAGGTCATCATAATTATAAGATATTAAACTATAAATAAATTACAATAAGTTATAAAAACACCTGGAAACTGAACACCTGAACACCTGACTGTCCCCCACTCTCAACTACTTCCATTCATAGTGTTGACTGGCCAAGAAACAAGCTAGCAAGAAACTGTTGTCCACACTGTCAGGAATCGTGAACATCTCCTTTGGAAACGCTTGCACACTGTCATCAAAGCTTGAAGTCGTCATGTCGAGCTGGATGGTCTCCGCAGCCCAGCTTTGAAGGGAAGCCAAAATGCTCTCGAACTCTGGGCAAAGCTGGCTGGACGCCCATTCAGCTAACTGGGTGCAAGCATCCTGGAGTGCCGCCTTTGCATCAGCGCTTCCTTGAACATCAGTAGCCGCCTCCAGCTGCCGAACAACGGCACCCCTGGCAGCCAACTGCTTCACAAGCTTTTCATGGTTCATCAAGTCATCCCAACTTGCTGATAAAATGGAGGATGGCTCCGTCTTTGCCAAGGTTTTGGCAGTGTCAGCAAGACTCGAAGCTTGCTTCAAAGTCAGTGCGGTGGCAGCAACTTCTCGATGCGCTGAAAGCACTTTGCTCCACAATTGCCTGGCTAGGGGAACTGACCAAAGTTGGCGAACACACTTCCAAACCATGAGTTTGACCAGTTTGCTAAGTGTATGAATTATATAGTCAGAGTCATAGTGTCGTACCGTATAGTCTAATGTCGTTCTCCTCTGTAAGGTGTAAGTTGCAAGGCTGTGGCTGTAGCTGTACTTCGGGATATATGGAATGGGATTCCGGGCCGGATTGTCATCAGAACCAGCCAGTCAGCAAAAGTATACACTATACAACGAATCAATGTGAGAACCTGTGAGAATATGAGAATATAATTTTAATTTAATATGATAATGATAATAATGATAATATGAATCAGAATGAATCACCTTAGCAGCCCTTAGCATTGATATGACTACCTAAAATAAGTCAAGGGTTCAATGAAATTAGACTTAAACAGAAACACATCATCAGTAGCCTTTTTATCATATGCTGCATATGCTCGTTTGCAGTGGCCCGGGCCGTGACCCTTTCTCCGCTAGAACTTCAACCATGTATCATGTAGCCATGCCGTGCGTGCCAAGTTATTGGAATTCAATAACAGGCCGAAGTCATTCATTGTAGTCATTTCTGATCATTTCTGACAGGTTCTCAGTTCCCAGAACACTCCACTCACACAAACCCAACCGCCGCACCCTCCCCTACTCTACCCTACCCCAACCCCCTTGACAAACACTCTGCGAACAGAACACACCCACTATACAGTATATGATATGTTGCATTCCATATCATTTCATATTATTTGGAAAGTCGGTAGTGACTAAGTAGTACGCAGCAATTTGTTTCGGCATTGCCATTGTTTGGACAGTTTCACAGAAATCAACGCATCACTCAACAATGCCCTCCGAAAGCCTCCAAGCACTTTGCGACATTGCCAATGTGAGCTTGGTGCTGAAGACACCCTTGCCCTTTCCCGCATTGGCGACTTTGCGCAAGAAGCTGGAATCCTGATGACCACCGTCCTCCATGTCGAGGCATGCAAAAATCTTCTGGAAGTCTCGCATGTTCCCGCAAGTGTACCCACTCACGTTGGCAAAGTCGTTTATCTTTGTCTCGCTTGGCATGGGCAACCTCAGTACGGGAAAGTTGGTGCAAAAGTAAGCCCTGCGACATAGACCCTGGACCATTGACCACAGGCCAAACATTCAGTTATGAGTTATGAGTTATGTTATGAAGATTAGGATGGGTCACGTCAAAATAATCGTCATAGACTGGCTGGCACAAAATGCGCCTGTGCCACTTTTAGTTGAAGTTGCATGTTTGAGAACCACTCCTCAGTCACAAGTCATGCTACTTTGCCCTGCAGTTATTTAGTGTCACTGCATGTCACTACCAACAAGAAAACGCGTTATGGTCCATGAGGTTAAGAACTTTTGATTTCTGATAGCATGCAGCATGCGGAGTGAAGCTGTAACATACACCCCGCTGGTTGTGTGTGCGCGCGCGCTATGTTAAGGGTAACTGTCTTGAGTGAGTCAAGAAACCATCGCTTGTCATCATCGAAGTCAATGTCTTTCAGCTTTGGGTCGAAGGATGACTTGGCCCAAGCAACACTATTGTTTTGCTTCAGCCGGTCGAACATGTGCTCCACTCCAGTGTGCTGGGCCTTCCGCAGGCACGTGTGAAAGCCATCACTCCGGTGTTCATGAGGTGGAGTGGTAAAAAGTGCTTGGAGATTCACAGCACACATCTTGCTATCTGAAAGCTGCAAGAACTTGATCAGCAGGTAGTCTGGCGCCTGAATCGCACGAGGCCATGACACTTTCCCAATGGCAAACGTCAAACAATCATTCAACACAGCAAATAAAAGAACCCACAGCTGAAGTTTGGTGTGTGGACACTGTGGACTGCATTGCAACATGTATCATGGGCTGTTGACTGCAGGCATTGAAAACGGGTTTGGTTGGGACGCCACCGAACCTCCAAGATTTTCTTGGAAATGAGGCCCACCATGTCCACCAGAGTGCCTTCACACTCAAGCAGAGACTTCCAGCAGTACCCGAAGTTCTCCAGCATGCTACCATTGGTTGCGACATCCTCTGCCATTTGATCCGAAGTTGAGCCCCGGATGAACTTACAC